GTCTGCTTCTCCCTCTGACCCTCTTCCCTCTCGTGCTCTCTATCTCTCATTCTCTCTCTCTCAAATAAATAAATAAAATCTTTAAAAAAAATTTAAAAAAAAGAGCCTTCTGAAAAGTTAAGAGTCCTTATGAATCTGAGAGAATCCAGATAAAATTCAGCAAGATTTGGTCAATACTGTTTCCCCAATCAAGTCCTAGAGTTGCTGATTCTTTTCATTCTTAGACTTTGAACTCTAGTTGGTTTAGCCGCAAAAGATTTGAGAGGAACAGAAGGGTATGTGATGTGTTATTGGAAGACCCATATCATTTTTCTATCCACTATAATATAAGAATCCTGGGAGTAAGTAACATTCTCCAACTGATCCAAAGCTTTATTATTAACTCAATAGTTTATCAAAACGGCAAATAAAGAACACTGACATTTGTCAGGTTTTTCACAATTTGTAAGAAATCTAGCACTTGAATATCTCTAAAATTCACATGAATGAAAAAGAAAATGTTCTTTATATATTTTTTCAATAGACTCTTTCTTTTAGAACAGTTTTTAGATATATAGAAATTATTGCAAAGATAGTACAGAGATCCCATGTACCTCACATCCAGTTTCCCCTATTACGTCTTACATTAATCTTCATTTTTTTTTCAAGGGAAAAAAGAGGGAACATAATAATCAAACATTTGGAAACACAGGCTTTTTTTTTTTAAATGAAAAGAAGACACATCTGCATGTAAGACGGGCACATCTATTGTGTTTCCTGCGTTTAATTAGAATGCAATGCTTTGAGCACAAGAATTGAGTCCTAAGAGAAATAAATGGACAATTCATGAGATGAAGCCTAATTCAAGAGTTTTAGTGCTCCTCAAACCAAGCTAAATCGAGAATATTTAAATCTTTCTGTTAAGTCATAGGTAACATGGAGAAATGAAAAAAATCCATTATGTTTGGTTCTGGAATGAAAAAGGTCTACATATATACAGGGTAACCAATGGAAGATTCCAAGGCAGAGGCTAGCAGTAAGAGAAGAGGAAATGAATGACCAGAATGAGAACAGTAAATAAAGTACTGAAGAAGCTCAGAGCCACAGCCCAATTTTTTCACAAAAATATTTAAAAGTTTGAAAATTTCAAAACATCTTTTCATAAAAAGGCAGAGAGACAGTGAGAAATAGAAAAAAAAAATGTGTGTGTTTCTAACACAAGATTAGGCGCACCAGAATAAATATCTAGAAAAAACAAGCAGATATTTATAAGGTAAACAAAGCAACAATTCTGAGATGGGCAGGGATTTATTCAGATGGAAAGGAACCTTATGGGAAATGCTTTACCTGACCTAAGTCTTTGTTATCCACCATTGTTACAGATTAGCAACAACAGAGGTTTATAGGAATCTATAAAGGGAAAACAGAGCCTTTGTTACGCGCGCGCGCGTGTGTGTGTGTGTGTGTGTGTGTGTGTGTGTGTGTGTGTGTACGTATGCATAATCTTCAATTTTCTTACCAAATAGCCTTTGTCAATTGCCACTGATCCTGGTTTTATACTTTCTGTCTGCAAAAGGCTTGCCAGTATGTCTCATTCATAACCAAGCGTATAATATACAAAGGCCTCATTACTAAAAGAAGCTCTAATTATGCTAATACTTTAACAGGGTAGCTATTTCTGATAATAAAACCTGTTTTTCAATAGCTTCTATAGTGTGCCTAACGCATTTTCTTCTATATTTCTCTATCAGCTATGCAAGAATGCAGGCATATTGCTTGAGATTATGAGGATAAATGAGATAGTATGTTTGAATTAGCTTTGAGCAAATACCATGTCACTTAGCTTCACAGTATCTCTGAGAAGGAAGGATGGGTAAGCAGAAAAAGATAGTGGAGGGAGGTAATTTTTGTCACAATTTTAAATTAAGAAAATGAAACAAAATCATACAGTTCAATTCATAACAGAGCCTGAATTAGAACAAAATCATATCGTAAGCCTCTCTATGCAAAGTTCTTTAACTAGAGCATGTTGTCTCAAGTAATTTTGACAAAATTACCTCCTGTTTCTAAAACTTGAATAATCATCATTGCAAGGAAGAAGAATGTGTGTGCCTATTAATGCCTTTGACTTCAAGAAGACCCTATATATAAAAATCCCACATTATAAATATAATTTAGAGAGTTTATAATTTTACTTTGTTGTTAACTGTTGTTCTTTACAATATGGACTCCTATTTACTAATGAAAAAAGTACTTTACTAAGTACTAAGCATTTCATAAACACAACAAATTTTATCTTTTAAGGTTTAGCTTAAATATAATTTTATTTATAACCCTTTCCAGTCCAGCTAAAAGTGATTTTTCCCTCTTCTATTCCTCAATTTCTTGTTTATTGCAATCTTATTACATTTAAGTTGTCTTATTGTTATTTATGTATAATTTCTTATTCTATTAGATTGTCATCTCCTGAGTTTTGTTGTATATACTAAGTGCTTAATAAATACTTATTTAATGAACAAAAGTTCACCTATATTTGGTCAGTGAGTGATACTCAAGGCAGAAAGAGATGAGACCCTCTCCCAGGGGACTTAAAGGGGTATATTTTCAATCTGTATTTCCCCATCTTCTACTCTCAGATGAGAAGCACTTCCTAGTAGGACTTCTACTGGGAGTGTATCATATTCCAAGCACACACATGTGGGGAGGGGGCGGGGTGTGATGAGTGGAGAGTGTCATAAAAGGAGAGAAAGGAGAAAAATCAAAAGAATCACAATATAGGACACTGGATAAATGCAATTTTTTTGCATTTAGTGCTACAAGGTAGCCCAATTATGGACCTTTATAAGCTAACAATGTTATGTAACATTTTTACAGTTATAATTCTGCAGCAAAGCTCTCACTATATTACATATAAATCAAGAAATAAGGACTTAAGATAAAACAGGGTTCTTCTGTATTCAGTTTCCTTTTCTTCCATTTTTTTAAAACACTATCTGAGGCATTTGTTCTGACACTGCTAGTTTCCAAGAATGACCCTAGATCAATAGAACCAAAAGCTGTATTTGTTCTCATTATGCTATAAATAAAAACTGAGAAGTATATTAAAACCAATATGCCTCTAAGATGGTACATTAA